CAGCCCCTCCTGCTGCACTCACCTTCAGCTGTTGTTACAGGCATTTAGCTCCACGTGTTTTAAAGGCTTTTAAAGTGAGAAATGCGTCGTGAGGCGGGTTTACTGAAAGTTGGGTCTGCATCTCAAGAAACTAGATTCAGTTCTAAGAGATTACCTGGAAATGGCCCTTCTTGGAGATGATCCTGCCTTTCTCTCAGCACACTTCCAGTGATCAAGGGGCTCAGCACCTTTAGCTGGGGCACTGCAGGTGATGCTCACACTGGGGGAAGCACAGCAGGCTCCTTGTGTGCTCCCAGGGACACGTGTTGTGCTTGGAGGAAACATGAAATCATCAGGGTCGTATGGGGGGGCTGGGGCAGAGCAGGGCAACAAAGCTGCTGGGCCCAAGTGTGGGGAGGAGCAGCTGAGGGAGCTGGGGGTGCTGAGCCTGGAGCAAAGGAGGCTCAGGGGAGACCTTCTGGCTCTGCACAGCTCCTGACAGGAGCCTGGAGCCAGGGGGGGGTCGGGCTCTGCTCCCAAGGGACGAGCAACAGGACAAGAGGAAACAGCCTCAGGTTGCCCCAGGGGAGGTTGAGGTGGGCCCTGAGGAACAATTTCTTGCCCTGGAGTGTTGCCCAGGGCTGTGCCAGGCTGCCCAGGGCAGTGGTGGAGTCCCCACCCCTGGATGGGTTTCCAAGCCGTGGAGATGTGGGGTGAGGGACACGGGGCAGTGGGGACCTGGCAGTGCTGGGGGATGGTTGGACTTGAGGATCTTACAGGTCTCTTCCAACCAAAACAATTCCATGAGTCTTGCCTTAGTGTTTTACAAATGAGACTGTATCCCATTGTGCCTTGAACTCGACTGTGTCACCCTCCAGCCATCCTCCTGGGATTAATTTCAGTGAGGTTTTTTTTTTTAAGTGAAAAAAAAAAGGTTTCTGTGCTTTTTTTTTCCCTAGTGTGGGAGATCGTTCAGCCCAAACTTCCTCTTCTTGTGGCCTAATGCAAGAGTTGCTCTTGTGGATTCAAGACATTTCTCCCCAGCCCCACAAGCTGGGGATGATGATGCTACAGGAGATGAACTGGAGCTAAAACAGCTGAAAGAAAAGTAAGGACATCAAATCAACCCCCTTGCAGTTACCCTGGGGTGCAATTAGTTAAATGACCTACTTCTGTTTGTCTTAGAGATCAACACATCCCAAATAAAGCAAACCTGCATCTACTGGGAAATAGTTTCAATTTCCATGGGAATCTAGGTCTGCTCTTTGGAGCTTCTCAAGAGGACACAAACGTTTGGCTTGTTTAACACTCTGTGTTCCCCAGGCTGGAGGAAGAGAGCAGTGCCTTCTACTCCTCTGCCAGGCTCTGGGATGATGGTGTCATTCTGCCTCAGGACACTAGGAGGGTGAGTTTTCCTCACAGCACGTTTTGTCTCAAGTCTCAGCAGGATCTGATGGAGAAATCCTGAGCCTGTGACTCGCTCAGGGGCAGCAATTCTGATTCCCAAAACTCCATCGGCCACTCTTCCCTTTTTGGGGCAATTTAATTTTGCAGTTCTCAGCTTTTCTGTTCCCCCTTAGTTTATCCAAAAAGTTTCTGTTAAAATCTGGTTCTATTCTGATCACCTGACTGCAGCATTTCCTGTGCAGCCAGTCCTGGGCTGACCCCCCAGCAGGGCAGGGAGGGGATCCTGCCCCTCTGCCAGCTCTGTGAGACCCCCCTGCAGTGCTGGGGCAGCTCTGGAGTCCTCAGCACAGCAGAGCCAGGGACCTGCTGGAGCGGGGCCAGAGGAGCCCCAGCAATGCCCCGAGGGGGGAACCCCTCTGCTGGGAGCCCAGCAGGAGAGAGTTGGGCTGGGGCAGCCACAGAGGAGAAGGCTCCAGCTGGGGAGACCCCCTGGGGGCTGCCAGGGCTTCCAGGGGCCTGCCAGAAAGCTGGGGGGGGGACTTTTGGCAAGGGTTTGTATTGATAGGACAAGAGGTGATGGTTTTAAACCAGAACAGGGGAGATTTGGATTAGAAATTAAGAAGTTCTTCCCTGTGAGGGTGGTGAGACCCTGGCCCAGGTTGCCCAGGGAAGCTGTGGATGCTCCATCCCTGGAGGTGTTCAGGACCAGGCGGGATGAGGCTTGGAGCAACCTGCTCTAGTGGGAGGTGTCCCTGCCCATGGAAGGGGGTTGGAACTGGATAACTTCAAGGTCTTTTCCAACCCAAACCACTCTGATCTGTGATTTCCTCACTGGAGCTCTTCATCAGGTTTACCATCTGGTTCTGGAGGCAAATCCTTTCTGGTGTTGGTGTTGCACAGCCACCCCTCCCCACTCTTTGAAGTTCAGGCTCTTCACTGCTCACATCCTTTCCTTCCTTTTGCCCTAGGCTATTTCCTTTTGTGACTTTCTCTTCCTGCTTGTAATTTGCTGCTCAAATTTGGGATGCCCTTCCCAAACTTTTCATTTATTTTTTAAGTTGTCAGTCTTATTTATTTATCTTTTCATTTAGCAGAGGATGCATTTGTTTTTTAAGGCAGCAAACATCTACTCCCTCAGATCCTTTCCAAAATCCACTGCTTTTCTTCTCCCCTTTTTCCTTCTTGGATTGTTGAGCAGCAATCCTTGGAATGCCATTGGCCCTTCTGAAGCTGGTTTACTTAAAGATCAAGAAGCCTGTTATCAATTAATCATTCTAAATATGGGACCTATTTATGGTCCTGCAGAGCTGTTGAATATTTTCTGTGGGTTTTATGGGAACTTGGATAATGGGAGAGCAGGAAGAATTGTTTTCTACTTCTAGACCTCTGTCTCTGTGTGAAACATCAGATGGTTGGCCAGAATCACTGTTACTCTCAGGGGATTTTCACCAGCACACCTCAACTGATGTTTGTCACTGGTTTTTATACAATATTATTTCACAGCTTGCTTGTCTTGGTTTTGTTTTTTTGGCTTTTAATCAGGTGATTGCCCAGTGCTTGGAGATCACAGAGCAGCAGAAGTTCCAGGTGGTGTCTCAGTGTCACTATCCTGTCATCAGGATGTAGCTGCAGCCCTTGCCCAATAATCAGCCTTCAGCACTGGGTATGAGGAAATCTTTAATCTCAACCATTTTCTCACTGTTTGATACCACTAATTAAAATCTGAAGCTACTGCTGATAATCAGGAATCCTGGGGTTTAAGTCTGTTAGTGGTGAGTTTGTATTTTGAACCAGATTGGTGCATTAGTTGGGTGTTTATTTGTGACTGGGGGTTGAGCTGGGAGTCTAGAGCACGCCAAGGAAACAAATTCACCCCAAGTGCTTCCTGATGGTTCTTCATCTTCTGCTTTCAGAACCCAGGACTGGAGAAACTTCATTTGGACAAAAGAAAGGGGAAAGAGGAAACACATCATCTAGTGTGTGTAGTTTCTGGCCTTAGTAGAGGACAAAATGCTGCTGCCCACCGCCTCAGAGTTCCAGAGTGGCCATGGGACAGCTCTGCTCACATTGCTCTGAGGATACCAAAGGAGTGACCAGGAGGGTACATAAATCTGTAATAATTCAGTATAGCCTAAAAAAAAAAACACAAAACACCTTTTCTCCAGGTGTTGTCACCACAAGTACAGGTGTGGAGTTTACCCTGTGCTGGTTTGTGCACCTTTCACTTGGGTGCAGCTGCAAAGTTTAATTTCATAAAGATTTTTTTAAAGAAAATCATCCCCTACCCCCCTCAAACTTGTGTTGTTTTAACTGTAGAGTTCTTAGCACTGTACAGCTGCAGATTCTGCCCCAAAGGGGGGTACTGGACAAACACCTCATGGAGTCATATGAAGAATCATAGAATTGTTTTGGTTGGAAGAGATCTTGAAGATCATTGAGTGCAACCATGAACCCAGCACTGAAATGCTCAATGTTAAATCAATAGCCAGACAAATAAAGTGCCCTGGAAGGGATTTTAGGTCGTTGGAGTGCTCGTCAAGGGCAACAGCAGCTTCCTGGAGCTGGAAGGAACCTCAGGCTCTCTTGAAGAGTCCGTGGAAGGTCACGGGGATGTTCACCTCCACCTCAGCCCTGGCCACCTCACTCATGTCCTTGGCACTGAGGATGAGGAGGTAGGCAGGCTTCGGCCCCACGCCTGGGCTGATCACGATGCTCAGCACCACCCCTGGAGGGAGAAGAATATGTCCTGGCTGTGCCCACACTGTGCCCTGCCCAGGGGGTGCCCAGGGACAGGCTGCCCAGAGAGGCTGTGGAGTCTCCTGCTCTGGAGAGATCCCAAACCCCCCTGGGCACCATCCTGGGCACCCTGCTGTGGGTGAGCTGCTGGAGCAGGGGGTTGGATGAGATGATCTCCAGAGGTCCCTTCTGACCCCACCCTGCTGGATTCTGGGAGTAATTGTTTTTTTCAACAATTAATTTCTAAATCACTTTGGGGTTCTGCTTCTGAGGTTTGATGTGACAAGATTCCCATTTCTGGCTCCTGGCAGCCCTGTGTGGGAGGGACAGGGCATCCTTGCTCTCAGGTTGGTTGCTCATTTCTATTCTCTCTGGGTCAGTCATTGCAGAAGAACATGGGGACAACCATACACCATGACCCGTGACAGCACCATGGCTCCCTGGGGACACTGACAGAAGGAACTTTCAGGGAGTGCTGCTGCAGGGGCTCACGTCCCAGGAGGTGAGAGAAACTTAAAACATATTCCTGAAATGCACGTTGTCTACTTCAGTTAAGGAAAGCTTCTAAAAACAAACCTAAAACCTTTTCATTCCAGTGGGAGTTGAGCCCCTGCACAAGCACTTTTGTGAACTGAGAACAGAAATGGGAAATTTTGCTCTGGGTTAGGAAATATTTTTGGCTATGAAGTATGAAACTCTTAATATAAACCAGGGAGAGTTGTCTCTTCAATTCAGCAGAGCCAAGACCTCCCAGTTTCATGTAATGCTGTTTGGAGGAACTGAGGGAGCAGGTGGACACGTTCTTGGGTCGAGTGCTGCTGTCACCCTCAAAGACAGGTGCAGGGCTGGGAGGGTGTGAAGGGCCCTGGACAGTGCTTGGAGTGATGACAGCAACATGTCCTCGAGTGACAGCATCTGAACTTGCTCCACTCCAGGGTGAGCAGCAGGGGCGAGGGGCAAGACACAGGCTTGGAGTGAGGGAGCTTCAAATCAGAGTCACAGAATTGTTCTGGTTGGAAAAAACTTTGAAATCGTTGTGTCCAACCATCCCCCAGCACTGCCAGGTCCCCACTGCCCCGTGTCCCTCACCCCACATCTCCAGGGCTTGGAAACCCCTCCAGGGGTGGGGACTCCACCACTGCCCTGGGCAGCCTGGCACAGCCCTGGGCAACCCTCCAGGGCAAGAAATTGTTCCTCAGGGACAACCTCAACCTCCCCTGGGGCAACTTGAGGCCGTTTCCTCTTGTCCTGTCCCTTGTTCCTTGGGAGCAGAGCCCGACCCCCACCTGGCTCCAGGCTCCTGTCAGGAGCTTGCAGAGAGTGAGGTCTCCCAAAGTTTCCATAAAGATCTGCCACCCTTAATTCTTTCAATATTGCAATTCCTGATGGGAAAAGGCTGGGAAACGAGGCTGACAGATCACCTAAACCCAGAGATCTTTCTCCCTTCTTTCCTCACTCTTAACTTTCCTGTTCCCTCGGAAGCTTCCCAGCAGTGTTAGACCACAGCCTAGGAGCTGCCCGTGGGGGCTCTTCTCATGCTGGGCACTGCACAACCCCCAGTGCCAGCAGACACCAACGACCCAGGTCAAGGTGCCAGTGGGCAACCCAAACCCAGCATTACCATCATCTTCCTCCAGGGCAACCCAAAACCACCATTACCATCATCTTCCTCCAGGGCGTCGGGGTGGGAGACGAAGATGGGCTCCGAGGGGTACGAGTCTGGCTCCTGCCACACCCAGGTCTCCTTGGTTTTAACATTCAGCTTGCAAAGCTAAAGGTGAGGGGGACAAAAAAAAAAAACCCCAACCACGTCTCAGAACCTTCTTGCTCAAACTAAAAGCTCCCCAAGATGCCACACGTGTGGGGACAGTTACCCTGTCAGGGACAAAGTGGTTGAGGCCCAGCCCGTAGGTGTAGGTGTAGGGCTTCCCGCCGTACTTCTTGTAGTTGATCTGTGGGAATTCAAAGGCTACAATAAAAAATAAAAACCAGAGAAGAGGAGGGGGTGAGGCCGGGCAGGAGGATGGCAGGGGGGGAAATGGGAAGGGGGCATGGCAGAGGTGGGCAGCGTACCGTGGCGTGGCCCCGAGAAGATGACCTCTGGTTCCAGCCAGACCGTCTCGTCGCTGCGCAGGGTGGCCGTGGCCGTGGTGTAGGGCAGGGTGACCAAATTCTTCCCCGTGTCAGCCTAGGACAAAGAGAAATAGCCAAGAGAAACTGAGAAACTCATTTCTTGGTCTGTTTGAGGCAGGTCTGTACCAAAGGCTGCCCAGAGAGGTGGTTGCTGCCCCATCCCTGGCACCATCCCACCGGGTCTCTGAGCACCCTGCTCTAGCTGCAGATGTCCCTGCTCCCTGCAGGGGGGTTGGACTTGGTGACCTTTAAGGTCCCTTCCCACCCAAACCAGTCTGGGATTCTTAACATCAGCTCCAGAAAACAGCCAGTTTCGCCCAAGACCTATCCTTCAAGTCCCATGACCCATCCTTCAAGTCCCATGACCCATCCTTTGAGCTCCTGCCCCTCCCAAGAAGATGTTGATGTTGATGTTGATGTTCATGTTGATGTTCATGTTAACTAAGGGGGTCAGGCCAAGCCCTGGAGGTGCTGTGGGGGGGGGGGTACCAGTGCTGGCCCTGCTCCCTGCAGGGGGGTTGGACTTGGTGACCTTTAAGGTCCCTTCCCACCCAAACCAGTCTGGGATTCTTAACATCAGCTCCAGAAAACAGCCAGTTTCGCCCAAGACCCATCCTTCAAGTCCCATGACCCATCCTTCAAGTCCCATGACCCATCCTTTGAGCTCCTGCCCCTCCCAAGAAGATGTTCATGTTACTGTTGTTAATGTTAATGTTAATTAAGGGGGTCAGGCCGAGCCCTGGAGGTGCTGTGTGGGGGGGTACCAGTGCTGGAGCCCCCGTGCCCCCCCGGTACCTTGTCGATGTTGAGGGGCAGGACGTAGCGCCGGGCTTCCGGCTGCGGCGCCTTCTCCGCCTGCCGCTTCACCTCCTCCCAGTTGGCTCGTAGGTTGGCCAGGTAGAGGTAATTGTAAACGAACTCGAACCTGCAGCACGGTGGCAGCACAGACAGAAGCAAAAGTGGCCTTTAGGAAGTGGAGTGGGGTCAAAAACTCGGGGTTTTTTTTTCCTGAATTTCAGTGGGATAAGACAAGTCGCGGTCCAGCTCCCTGGGAGGAGCCAACGGTGCGTGGACAACACCTCCCCAGTGAGGAAACCAACCTGTGGCAGCAGCTGGGGCCACCTTGCTCAGGGGTCACTATCTCAGTGCCCTGTTTCTCTTTTTTTTTTTCTCTTTTTTTGGGTGTTTACACAAAAAGCAGCAGTCACGGCTCAGCTGGATCCTGCCCAGCGCGGCCCCAGGCACCAAAATAGCACCAGCCCTTGAGTAAACATGAACATTTACTAAAGTTGAAGGCAAATTAAAATGAATTTAAATTTAGTTAAGGCGAGAACACAAATTTTTCTTGGGCAATGAGTTTCAGACAGGCTCTCAGCACCTCTGTGCCCTCTGCCCGTCACCGTGTGTGGGTGTTTGGAGGCAGCCGGCGCGAGGGCCGGAGGTGATTCCGAGGTGGGGATGGAGGTGCCCGGTTCTGGGGTCCCCACCAGGTGGAGCAGGGACAGGCAGGGTGGCACAGGGACCCCCAGCTGCCAAAACTCACCCCTTCCAGGTGCAGAGGTCGACGATGAGAAACCCGTTGTCCTCGTAGGTGTTGATGTGATGGAAGAGGTTGAAGGCCGAGGTGCGGTACTTGATGTTGAGGAGCCGGCCTTTCTTCTTCTCAGCCACGTGGAGCCAGACCTGAAAAGGAAGCAGTGGTTTGGTGAAGGTGGAACCACCACGATGTCCTTTGGGACCTCCCAACCAGCCCAGTCTGGTACCCGTCGCTCACCCCCATGGTTTCGTTGGACTCGAAGCAATCCATGTAGTTGGCTCCCCAGAGGCTCCAGGAGGAGAGGAACTTGAGGAGGTTGATCTTCACCGGCGTTTCAACGAACACGATGTAGTTGGAGGTCAGCCCAAAGCTGTTTGGGGAGCACAGCAAGCTCACTGTGGTTAGCTTGGACAAAAACCATGGAGGAGTTCACCTTAAGCACCAGATAAATTCATCACTTGAAATGGCAGGAATGTAAAGACCTTTATTTTGGTAAATCATCTAATTTTAGGTGATGACATGCAAGAAGAAGCCCTATGTGGTACCAGAGATGCTGTGCATGTGTAACCCTCCCTCTGGTGCTGGCAGAAATTAAAGGGGACTCTTGTTCTGCACTTGAGTTTGAGGTTGTCCCTGAGGAACAACTTCTGTCCCTGGAGGGTTGCCCAGGGCAGTGGTGGAGTACCCACCCCTGGAGGGGTTTCCAAGCCATGGAGATGTGGTGTGAGGGACACGGGGCAGTGGGGACCTGGCAGTGCTGGGGGAATGGTTGGACTTGGAACTTAAAGGTCTCTTCCAATCAAAATGATTCTCTGATTCCCCCAACCCCCCAAAACATTACCTGTGAACATAGGAGGGCTTGAACCTGTCGCTGCAAGGGAACTGCACCACCACCTCCGACTTGTTCATTGGGTCTTCCTTGTCTGGAAGAGGACAGTTGAAGGGTCATGGACAGTTTCCCCCATTCTTACTCTGAATTTATAGAGTTTACCCAACAAATTTCTGCCTATAACCCAAAAGGAACCTCATGATTTAGAAACCACTTGGAAGCCTTTTAAAGATGACATTTCCGTTCTTAAAAAAAAGCAACGGAAATCAACAGAAAAAAACTTTTTAAAAGCAACTTGATGACAAAACTCATTCGAAGGATAAAAACCCCCAGGATTTGTAGGAGGAGACTCTCTCATTCTGCTCAGGGGTGGGACTGACTGACCTGCCTGGAGTGGAGGGATCCGAATGATGTTGTAGGCCAGGGAGAAGTTTTTGCCAAAGCAGTTGCCGATGTTGTAGACGGTCCCGTCGTTCTCGATGTGGGGATGAGCCGTCGCCCCGTTGACGGACACGTATTTGCAGAGATCCACCTGGAGAAAGAAGATGGAGAAAGTCAGGAGCTCTTTTGGGCCGAGATGGGAAGTGCAGAGCTCTGCAGGGCTTTGCAGGTCGACGTGGGAGGTTCTCCTCTCCGCCCAAATCGCCGGTTGGAAAAGAAGAGCAGCAAAGCCAAGCAGTTTGAGAGGGGCAGGTGGGCTGAGGTGGTGTCCTGGTTTGGGGCAGAACAGAGCTGCTTCTGGTCAATAATTTTACAGAGGACGCTGTTGCCTCCTAATTCAATATTACTCAGCAGCGGGTTCATTTACGAGCTGTTGTGGTTTGAGGCTTGGAATGGGGGCGTGACCTTCCAGCAACTGGGAGGACCCCGGGTGGGGGTGAAACCATTGTATTCCCTCCCCTTCCCACACACACTCTGATAAGAGGCAGGGAGTGGGTTCTAATTTCACTCCTGCCTTGGAGCTCAGAGAGGAAAGTTCTCCTTTCACTCCGTGGGACCCTGGAACCATTTCTGAGGGTTTTGTATATTTTATTTTTTGTCTTATTCCCCTAATCTTTGTATATATTATTTTCCTTACCTCCCTTTTTCGTTTTCTGTTCCTTGTTGAACAATATACTTCATTTTTTTTAAAAGTGTCTCTCTCTCTCTCTCTCGGGGGGGGAGAGGCGAGTACATAGTTCTGTTCTGTGTGGGTCCTGCCCTGAACCCCTTTTTACACGGAACCAGGACACGAGCTCATTCCAGCTCTGCTCCCATCAACCCCCAGGCTGGTGGTGGCTCCTGCATCATCTCCAACAAACCCCAACCCTCCCCGTGCTGTCAAACGCCGATATTAAACATTTTCATTTCACTTCTAGTCCTCCCTGGATTCTGAAGGTCGCTCCAAAGCCCCACCTGCTTAATTGTCTCCAGGGTGTCTGGGTTAATTCTGGTGATGAAGTTGGTCTCAGTACAGGCATAGTAGTCTTCCCCAACGGGGTAGACATTGACGAGGGCGTTATCTGTCACCTCCACGCCTTTGAAGTATGAGAAGAACCTGAGCAGAGGAAAAAAATCCAGGTCAGGGGCTTTGTGGAAGCACCGTGGGACGTTGCTGTGATGTCTTCTGTGAGCCCAGGGGCACCTGGAGAAGATGTTCTTGCAGGGGTCCGGGTAGGCGTAGGTGCCGAATTCCGTTATCACGATCCTTTTCTCAGTCATGGCTCTCACGTAAGCGTCGGTCCTGACAAACCTGAAGGTGAGAAGACACGTTGGAGGTGCAGCCAGAAGAAAAAGCCTGTGATTAAACTCCTCATATCCTTTGTGGTGACCCTCGTGAGACCTCTGGAAGGTCCCTTGCGTTGCGTCTGGAGCACGCCGGGCCCAGCGGGAGGGGATGGCTGGTGGGGGGGGCTGAGACTGATGGGAAATGTGGTGTTTTGTCTAAACATCCTGCACCAAGCACCCAAAAGCTGATAGCTCAGCAGCTTGGAACTGAAAACCTTCTGCTCCTCAGACAATGAAGTCATCCTGTCTCTGCCAGCAGCTGCATCCAGCCCTCCCTCCATCCCCTCCCTTCCAGATGTTTTCGGTCTGTACAAAACGCTGAGTTTCCACTAACTATGAGTGACTTTCAGTTATTTTCAGCTGGTTTTGGTGATCTCACCCTTCGAGCTCTCCCAATAACCAGAGGGACTCGAAGGTGCCCAGGCAGCAGAGCCCAGCTCTTAGGGTCCAGCAAAACGCTTCATCCGTCAGCGTTTTGGCTCAGAGAACTGCCCCCTACCTTCGGTGGTAGGTGACGTGCCCCTCCTTGAAGTCAAACTTGTGGAGCAGGGCCTGCCCGTCGAAGAGGTGGTAGAAGGGCTCTGAGCCCACCTCGAACAAGCCAGGACCACATCTCAGGAGGCTTCCTCGCAGCCAGGTGGGGATCCTGCCTGCAGAAGATGTGGCGTCGGTACGGGCCCAGCCCACGGGAAGCAGAACAAGACACTTTTGTTGTGCCAATGAGAAGAAGAATACTTTAAGCTTTTCTCTGTTAATGTTTATGAATTTTTTTTTAAACACCCCTGAGCTCTTTGATCTATGCTTTTTTTTTTTTTCACCTACAGACCAACCTGACAAAGACGTTGAGTACTGACACGTCCAAAGATCCCTCATCCCATTCATCCTTCTTCCACACCAAAACACACCAGCCCTGTGGGGCTCTTTACCTCCACCCCAAGTTCTGGTGGCCCACAGGCTTTGGAGAACATGAGCTGGGCAGGAGGAGATGAGGGAGCTCACACCAACCTGTGACGTGGGCGGTCACTGGAGAAGACAGCTCCTCCACGGTCTCAAAGAGCTTCTTGTAGCCTCCAGCAGGGTGCTCGACTCTGAAAGGAGCAGCAGACCCAAGGTTAGCTGGGTTTTGGGGGAGCTTCCAAACCTTGGTTTTGTTTCTGGATGGACTGATGGGCGACTCGGAGAGATCAGGGTGAAGAAGCACCAGCCTTGGTGAGGGGAAAGGCTCCGGGGGCTCTGGCCAGAGTAGGGAACGCTGATGGGCCAGCCCCTGCTGTGGGCAAGTTCAGGACATCCTCAAGGATCAGGAAGCAAAATCCAACTTGTATGTCCCAGCTCCTGGATAAGATTTTTTTTTTTAGAGCAAAGCATAGCAGAGAATCCTGTCAGGTCCCAGTTTTATCTGGTGCAGAACCCCTGGAGACACACCAGACAAGCTGGGGCACTGCGCTGCCCCTCCATAGGAGGGACCATCCTCTGGTAGAGGGAGATCAGCCTGTCCCCCTGGACCACAATCACACTTTAGCACAGGAGGCACCAGCGTGGACACCCAAACATAGAGAGCCCCCTGCTCCTCCTCCTCTCTGCTGGGCCATGCTGACCCCAGCCCCACAGCAACCCCCCCCGGCCAACACCACACTGTGATGGCCACCAGTGACTGCTCCTACTGATAGCACAGCCTGGTTGGGGTGGGAAGGGACCTTTCCAGGTGGTCTCATCCAACCCCCCTGCAGGGAGCAGGGACATCTGCAGCTAGAGCAGGGTGCTCAGAGCCCCATCCAACCTCCCCTGGGATGGTGCCAGGGATGGGGCAGCGACCACCTCTCTGGGCAGCCTGGGTCTCACCACCCTCAGGGGAACAAATTTCTCCCCTGTCTCTCTAGTGCAAGAAGCCCCCAGCAATACTCACTGGCTGTACATGTTCTCCCCGGGGACCAGAGCAGCCCAGCGTGCAGGGAGAGCTGCCTGTGGGGTATTTATGGGGTGCTGAGCCCTGTGGAGGGGACCCAGCACCCAAAACCGCCCCCGCCGGCGAGCACAGCC